TCTAGGTTGGCTGAAAATGAGTCACATATTTTGTTTTTGTTGTTCAATGAAATATTTATAGAAGTATAAAAGCTCTTTAAAATACTCGCATAGAGCACATGATGTTAAATATTCTGGTTTGGGAGAGTAAAGTCACAAGTCTTCAGTAGAAAACGTGATTTACTTTTCTTCTTTCAGGTGGAAATGTTTACCAAAGAAAAAAGCCATCAGACTGAAAACTACATAAACTTTGTGACAATGGGCACAAAATGGAGAGCAAAATACAGCTGCATATTCCATCTTATTGTATTAATATGTAATTTAAAAACACATAATTGTGTTATAAAGGTCTCTGTTGAGTATTGACCCAGATTTAAACAGCCTCACAAAATGTTTGGAAACCCTGATCTGATGGACACTACAGCTTCTCTGTGTTTCAAACCACTCTGCTCTGTCCTTTGAGCTCAACAGAAAGTTTTTAGACAATATTAAGAAGCAGTTCTCGTCATGATTTTAAATTTAGAGGAAATTGAGAACTTGTAAATAAATATCTGTACAGACTTGGTGGTTGTGCTGGTCTCCTACCTCGTGTATTTAGCTCTAATCTAAATAGTGGAGCTCCATTTGGGACACTAAAGAGCTTGTTCCAAACGTTTAGAAATAATATTATGAAATATGTGATTTCTGAGGAAAGTCACACATGGCCTAATAGGTTTTTAATAATGCTTTTACACAACTTTTCGTTTTGTTTTTGTAGAAAGTTCTTAAAATGTGAAATCATCTTGATAATAACGAGCTGAGCTGCGGCCCAGAGGTGGTGTACCTGCAGCCCTCCCACACAACTTACAGGACCATCAACAAAGTGTTGCGTTACATTCAATGAGAGGATCAGTGAATACATTTAGCATTTTACTGAGAGTGCTTGTGAAGCGTGCCACATGTAGCCCCATTCTTCTCATCGCACTTCAAAGTGTGTTTGAGGGAACGAAGCAGAGTTTAGCTCCATTTATCCATTTATCCATCGGCCTCTCGACCAGTCTGCCCGTTTGTTCGTTAGTTTTATAACTGTGAATGTTTATAAGTTTAAAAGAAAGAACAGCTATTATGTGAATGTTTATGAAGCATATTGGGATCCAATTTTTTTTCCGTATGTTTTCGGCATCTTTCTCGTTTCACAGTTTTTGTGCTCTTTCAACTAATCGTATCAAAATGTTCAGCTGGTTCAGGAGAAGGGTGTTATGACTTTTGGTATTGGTGCAACTTTAGCTTTTTGAAATATTTAGCCATTTCTGCCATTTTATTTCCTCATAGAAAATTAATTGAGCTCTCTTCACATCCTTCAAATCTTTAGATCTGTTTACAACCTTTTACTGTTCCTTTCACATTCTGTTCAGGTTCAGCTTCTTTCAGCTTCCTTGTGCAAATTTAAACTTTTTTTTTTCAGCTACTTTCAGCTGTTTTTTTCAGCTACTTTGTGCTCCTTTCAGATTATTTCTGCTAAATACAACATTTGTGTTTGTCTTCTAACTTCTTTCTGCTAATTTCAGCTTGTTATGCTCCTTTCAGCTTATTTCTGTAAGTTTCAGCTTTTTCTGTTATTTCTGCTATTTTTTTCCATATAGCTGTTTTATGCTAATTTTAGATTTTTCAGCTAATTCCACAGTTATTGCCCTAATTTCAACCTTTTTTCTGACTACAGCAAAAATGTGTTCGCTTCACTTCCTTCTGGTAATTTAGGCGCTTTTTTGCTACTTTCAGCTGTTTTTCTGACTAATTTCAGCTTTTTTCAGACAATTTCCTCTTTTTTGTGCTAATTTCTCCTTCTTTAACCCTAATTTGGCACGCATGTGATATTTCTGCTTTCTTCTGCTAATTTAAGCTTGTTCTATCTGTTCAGCTACCTTTTTTTTTTTTTAGCATTTTCTAATTTCGGTTGTTTTCAGATAAATTCCAAGTTTTTTTGTGGTAATTTCTGCTGCTTTCAGCCCAATTTACTTCTTTCTGATAATTTCCATTTTTGTACTCCTTTCAGCTTAATGATGCTAGTTTCAATTTGTTCTGCTATTTCAGCTACTAATTTGCTATGTTTATGCTAATTTAAACGTTTTCAGCTAATTCCACATTTTGAGCTCATTTCAGCTCTTTCTGCTTCCTTCTGGTAGTTTAAGATTATTTCTGCCTTTCAGCTACTTTACAACCATTTTTGCTCATTGAAGCTGTTTTAGCTTCCCTATTTTTGTGCCAGTGTTTGCTTATTTAAACTTATTTCACCAAATGTGTTCTTTCTGATTTATTCTGCAAATGTAGGCTTGTTCTTCCATTTCAGCTACATTTCAGCATGTTTTTAGCTAATTTCAGCTGTTTCTCTGAAGTTCCTTTGCATTCACACTGTATTTTCACAGGAAATGCAGTTCCTCTAGTTTCTGTGTATTTCCTTCCAGATGGACATACTGTATTTGGTTTGACTCAGTCCTGGATCCCTGTCAGATAGCTGTTACTGAAACCTGTCACCTTTTGCACACTTCTTCTCACTGGGACTTCTGCACTGAGTGTTTGTGGGTTGTATTTTAAAAAACAAGATTTTTTTTTAAACGATGTTGCATTCACTGTACAATGTTTATTACAGAATCACTCTTACACTTCAGAAAATACAATGTTCAGGATTGTTTTGTGTCTTTGAGGTGCAGGTTGAATCTGGTTTTAACAAATGTGAATATCATAAAAGCCAATGGGACATAAATTATATTTGAGAGAAAATGACGTTTATGCTGTTTGGGTTGGCTGGCATGTGTTTTCTATTTATTATTGAATGTTAAGTTTTAGAAACAAAAAGATGCAGATGTTTACCCCCCACCTAAACTGACAGTATTTAGTATTTGTCTCTTACCTTTATTTAATTTGATCCCAAGACAAGGATAGATTTTAACATTAAAGAATAGAGAAAAGGTCCAAAAAAGTGCTTTAACTTCCAATTGAATAACTTTATTAGATCTTGATGTTTCTTACAAAATGCATCGGACACATATGACAATGATCTGTGTGGTTATGTAATATAATGTCCCTTTGTTTGCTTCCATAAATAAAATGAGCTGCTGTCATTCTGTACTTGCTGAACTGATGCAGGTCGGAGCTTTTTGTAACATTGTTGTTGTGTTTACCAAAACTGTTTTATTCCATTGCTCGTTTAGGAGAGCATCTGTCTAATATGACCTGTCCTGCCTTGACCATTTTTCCTCCAAATCAGAGCTGTATGTTCCTCTTTCTTTTGTGAATATGCTGGATATATTGTCTCATATCTAAACAAGATGGCACAAATCTAGAAGAGGCAAATCATCACGTGATACTAAACTTTTCAGTGAGCAATTGAAAAAAACAAGTACATATACTGTGCATCTGCAAAATGTTGTAAACAATCATTTAAAAAGGTCCATGGTGGTGTGATTTACATTTGTTCTTAGTATTTAGCATCAGCCAGGACTTCAGGATGGTGTTATAAATTAAAGACCAAGCCATCTTCAAAGGATCACATCTCCTGCTGCCTCTCATGCCAGAGTTTTAACATAAAATAATCCTGTATTAAAAAAAGAACACAATTGTAGCTGTTTTGGTCAAATCTGGGAAATAATGGCCCTTGTGATCTAATCTGTTAATGCTCAAAGAATGAGTCTGAGGTGACTCTCCACTACTACCACACCAGGTTTCTGCTCAATATCTGTGAAACTAACTGCACTAAAGCCCCATTTTGTCTTTCTATAGTTAATTAGATGTTGAGCCCACCTTGAATAGAGTTAAAAGGGGTCACTGAAAGTGCATGTACAGTCAGTGATCACTTTCTAAGCATTTTATGAACTCTCTCCTCTCGTTTGTGAGATACGTTGCTAACAGACATGAGAAGGCTTCAGATGTTAACACGGGGTGTAAACAAAGATTGTGTACAGTATGCAGTGCTGGTCATCCAGGTCATGGTCCGTCTACAAAGTTCAAAAACAGTCCACTTGGTTTTTTTTTACTTGTTTTTTTTTAGGATTTACAACATGTAGTGCTCAGAGTGTGTTAGGGATCCATTCAGCTACTAACACACCCGATTTTAACTTTTTTTTTTTTAAGTTACAGTATAGCTATTTTTGTTTACTAAGGTCTGTTTGCTTGTGGTACACACTCAGTTTTCATCAGTGAAACACAGTAATAGTTTAACAAATACAGTAAAATCCCTTTTGTCATCTGTTTTTGTGTGTAAATTCAGAGTATTAGCATCTAACAAAGTAAAGTCAGGTACTCTGGATGGATTCTTTTTTTTTTTAATTGTTGAAATGTTTCATCTTTGGCAGCTGTGGCTGAGTGGTTAGAGCAGTCGTCCTCCAATGCAAAAGTCGGGGGGTTCGATTCCACCAGCAGTAACATGCCGAAGTGTCCCTGGGCAAGACACTGAACCCCTCATTGCCTCCGATGTGTGTCCCAGTGTATGAATGTGATAAAACTCTGATAATTTTTTTGTATAGTATATAGTAGAGCGCTGTATGAATGGGTAAATGAGGGCACAGATTATGTTGTAAAGAGCTTTGAGTGTCTTGATAAGATAGAAAGGTGTTATATAAAAACAGTCCATTTACCAAATACTTCTTCAGTCTGAAGAGCTACACTAAACTCAGTCTTATAAACAGCACCTTCTCATAGTGGATCAACCAGTTTGTTGGTGACAGCCAGAACTAGCTGTTCACATGATAAATGAGGACCATCAGCCTAACGACCTATCGTTAATGCTCTGATGGCCGCTTGCTATTCACAGAGGGCTGAGTGATGTAATATTGTAAGAGTAGACAGTTGGACATGGAGATCTCTGCCCCGTTTAATTATGGACGTTTTTTCTTCACAAAGATGTCTTCCTTCACTCCTCTCTCTTTTTGAATCCATCCAGAGGACCTGGCTTTACTTTCAAAGATGTTTCTACCTGGATTATTGAGCATGCATCAGGATATATTATTAACAGTTTTCCACTCTTTGTTGTCTTCTGTTTTGTCTAGACGTATGCTCACAGCTCTTTGATCTACCTGGTGTCTCTTCTGGGCAGCACTGACCACAGCTTTCACCACACCCTGCTGCAGGAAATCAGAGCTCTTACTGACCGTTACCCGTCTGTACTGGGAGGCAGCGGCAAAGACATCTACAGGATGAGCAACTCCTTCACTGCTATAGCCAGGCTGCTGGGGCGTCGACTGGAGGAAAGAGCTGCTGCTCCTTGCAGGTTGGGAAGGATGTGATGAGCTAACCAGCTACAGTAGATACACTTTATATTACCGAATAAGTCATTTAAAGGATGTTTTATGTCAGTCAGCATCAGTTTTATTCATAACACCCTTTTTTTTTTTTTTTTTTACAAAGTTGATCCTTTCTGTTGTATAATATTAAAGTAATAAAACTAAATCTCATAAGGCCGATAAAAATACTAAAATTGCAGTCAATGCAAATGAATAGAACGAAGCAGCAAAGCAGGAAATCGTTGGTTACGTACTGTAACCCCAGATTCTATGAATATAGGCGTAGCCCTTTACGGCTGTCACTTAGTGGGTTTTATCCCGTCATGCGAAGCATCACACTGAAAAATTTAGTCCACACCCACCTGCTGTGTGGGCCCCACCCGGTCCATATAAATTACGTTAAGAGCGGGTAATCGGCTCGAGGTCATGACAGGCTGCAGGACGGAGCTTTTCCCAGCAGCTGTGGGCTGCACACAGGTGCAGCAGGTGCTAAATCCAGTGTTTCCCCTACCATTATAAGTGGGGCGCCCCGCCCCATCAACAGAACTGACCGCACCCCACCCCCACTTGTCGGCACTGACAACGCTAAGCTAGCGGCTCGCAATACAGGTGCGCTAGCTCAAAAGCTAAAGGCAGCCTCTTCCCTCATGCTGAACCCCCCCCCCCCCCCACACACACACACACACGCTCAAAAACTCTCGATACAAACAGCGTGAGGCTCAGATGTGTCTCTGTCTCCCCCCCTCCCCCAACTCTAAAACTGTCGGTATAAGTAGTACTACACAGCTCAGGACGTGACTCTGTCCGTCCATTCACCCCCCCAACAAAAATCACGGACAAGATGAGTGCCCCGCCATGGCAAGTTATCTAGGGGAAACACTGAAATCTTGAAAAATAATTTATTTTAAATAAACAATCCATGTTGCTCATGTAGCTCAACCATCAATCAGCCAACGGTGTGTCATGTCCACTCTTACTTTGAAAAACCACGAAAGATCGAGTCCACGAAAGTCGAACTGCGAAGCAGCGAGGCACTACTGTACACTTCGTTTAGAGCACCAACGAGAATAACGTGTCTTGGGGAATATCGACCTCTGAAATATTACGAGCTTCCTAAAAACCTTTAAAGATCTCTGTCATACAGGTTCTTTATCATTTTTGAGTAAGTCTAAAATGTTACCATTGGTTTATTCTGTTCTGTAGTTAATTATGATTTTAAGGCAATGAAAAGAAGAAATCAATAAGTACGTGTGTTTTTACAAAACCACCTTCTATTTAAAGGTTTATTTATTTACTACATCAAAGAGAACTTAGAGGTTTGGAAACTTCCTGTTGTAATTTATAGGTCATTAAAAATAGTTTCTGTTTGATTCGTTTAATAGAGTGATTTCCTCTAGTAATAGTTAAAAGATCTTGGAAGGAACAGTGCATGTTGCAATGTGTGAGGATGCTGTGCACATGTGCTTGTGTAAGTGTGTGTGCGTGTGTTTGCATGTTGATGTGTGTGTGTTGACAGTGACTCATGTGGCTGCAGTGTGGAAGTGATACACACTGTTTTAAATAAGAACAGTGTGTGCTGGAGTGGTGGTCGAGTGGTTTTATAAAGAACATTTCGATGATGAAGAAAAGACAACAATGGGGCATTAGTTCTCTTTTAGCAAACATTGTGTGTCCTTTGTGGACAAAAAGCAGGGACTGAAACCAAAGATCAAGACACGCAGAAATGAAACCGTTAGTGACATTGCAAGAAATTATAAAAATAGAGTACAAAGGAAGAACAAATGAAGCTGGGACTTGCCCAACATCACTTTTATGCTGACCATGTGTTTCTGTTCTTGTTTAAAGAGTGGACGAGGCTGGTCCTTCTCTTTTAGCTGGTAGAGGAGGAGGAGGGGCGTCAGAGCAGTTGCTGCAGGTAAAAATCCAGAGTTTTGATGAGAAAATGGGAGACGTGGTGGCGGAGGAGGAGGAGGTGGGGAAGGACTCCCCAGCTCCTCAGCGATGCTACAGCCTGAGCCAAGCCGTCAGGGAGGAGAGACGGGAAATGAGATTCAACAGGTCAGTTTGGATGTCAAAACATCATTTTCATTGTTGTCTGTTTAACAAATACACATGATCACATGTTTTTTTTACTGTAAACAGTTTTCTGACAATTTGGCGGCGTTCATAGTTGTGTGTTGCTAATACTTGCATCATGCAATCCTTATGTGTGTGTGTGCCAACCAGACCGACTCTATTAAATCAGAGAGCAAGGTGCAACCACCGACCATGGACCATGGTGGTTGGACCCTGGTTTGCATGGTTAGTCACCATGCAAAGAACTGTACGTCTTGTTTATTTCTTAGTTATTATTTCACACTAAAGTTTACTTAGGCACATAGTAGGCAAGTGTTGTTTTTGAAATACAAAGTATTAGTGATGGTGTGAACCAGTGACGGCTGGTATCAATGGGCTAGGAGGGCTAAGCCCTCCCTGTCTGGCATTTACAATAAAGATGTTAAAATAAACAATTTAAAAATACATTTTAGAAATAATGTCACATTTTGTTAAATTTACAACACTGGTCAGAATCATCGCAGTGACACTTCCTGCCGTCTTTACATTGAATGGAACTGCTGCTGTACAATACACCTGTAGCAAACCCCCGTCTAAACAGAGCTTATACACGCACAAGAGAGTTCTTTAAATTATTTTTCAAAGGTTAGAAATATGAGTATGTTAAAGAGCAATTTGTAAACAACAGTCAAATAAAACTCGCTCAGATACGTCAGCTCAGGAGTGCAGGAGGGTGGAGCACGCTGTATAAACAAAAATCAGCTGTTCCGACCGAAACTTCAAAACAATCCGCCACTCACACACTCCTTCATGAAATTTAACACCAAACAAAACTGAATCGTCTCACTGACTTTACGTAGGAAAATAAAGAGTCTCTGAACTGAATCAATTTCACCCATTTCATACGAGGAAGAGAGATCTATCCTGGGCAAACTCTGGAGCTCCACCGGTCCTGCTGCGTCTCTCCACCTGCTTCACCTGCCACACCCCTGCCGTCAAACTCATGTCTCTTTTTTAAAGTTCGGGAAAAGCTGTGACCCAGTTTTCTCCCTGGATACTTTGAGGATAAAATACACATCTACAAGACATTCTTGCATCTATAATACAAACATTTTATTTGTATTTAATTTATTTAGGTTTTATTCTCAAACCCTTTTTTTTTCACAAAATACTTTATTTTAGTGATGTCACAGATCAAATAGCCATCACAACCCTGATGACTTCTGCAGAGGCAGAAAGGTGTTTCAGCACATTGAAGAGATGTATATAT